TTCCGGTTAGCGCCAAGGCATACTGGGCCGCCGTCGCCTGCAGGTCTGCGCGCGCACCTCTCCTCAGAAAGGGCAGCAGCTCCGCCGCTTCTGCGTTAGGGGAGGCCTCTGGCCCCGCCGGCGAACCGGACCTCGAACTGACCCCAGACTCTAGTGTGCAGGTCCGCCCGGCGGCCATCGCGCCACGCCAAACTCTAGAGTCCGTCGCCCCGCCCACCAGAGGAAAGGAAGCCGGTCGGGCCAATCCAAGGCTGCAGACCAGGCGCTGGGGTCTAGGGCGGTCCGCAAAGGCGGGACCTAGGCTGGCGCAGGGCCTTGTGGGCGCGGAAGGTGGAGTTTGGGGTTGCTGGTGCGAAACCCCTTGTGTGACTGCGTATTACCGCGCTGGCCACGCTGATCCTGGCGAGCCCTGATCCTTGACCTCCAGAAGCTTTGAGGGTGTTTCAGAACTGGCGCACAGAAGGAGGGCTATAGCTGGTCCAGGGCCATGTGGCCTTGGGTCGGCCTTGAAGGAAGGTGTGCCCTTGTTTCCGTGGCCACCCAGGAGCCCAGAGGCTGGGGCCGCTGGGAAATGGGACCCCGAAGGGCCTGAGGTGAAGCCCTAGGAGGCAGCTTTTGGATAAGCCTATGAGCATTGCGGACCGGGTAGCTTTGGGACATTTGTCAGGACTTCTTCGGTTGCGAGTGACTGAAACTGGCACAGAAAGAGAACTGGTCCACGGTTCCATATAACTTGAAAGTTTGAAGGACATCAGCTGTAGACACTGCTTCATCAAGCCGCTCTCTAAAGCCCTATGCTGTCGTCCCTACCACATGTCTCTTCAAATGCTCTGCTACCCCGTGGTTTACGTTCTTTACTTGTTCTAGCACAGGAGAAAACTAGCCGAAGACAGTTTCCCCAGAGTCTGCCCCAGGGAACAACTCCATTCATTGCCTCACTTGACCTACATTGAGCTAGTCACTGGGAGGAGCAAAGACTTTCTGGGAACACATCGACCCTGGAAGAAAGGAGGACAAAAGGAATGCTCCTCTCAGGTGATTGTGAGGGTATTTATCTGCTAAGCACTGGGTTGGTTGCCCAGGACACAGAAGACCAGGGTCTCCCTGGCCTTGGGGCCCTCCTGCTAGTGCTGGGGGTACCTAGAACACAGGCCTGGCAAGATGTACCACTGAGCTACACCTGTCCTGACCTCAGGTTCATGGAATGCTCTTTCTCCAGCTATGCACAAGACTGGCCACTTTTTAACTGTCAGAACTAACTCCGTGGGGCAATCTGCTGCTTAGTTCCTATAAGCCTGCTTTGGGATTACAGTACCTGGAGGAAGGTGATATGATTTATGCTTCAGATTCCCTCCTTTGTATTGGTTACTCCTGAAGATGCTCTGAGAACAATCCTTGTATAATGTTCACAAGGTTAATGGTTTTCCAAAATTTGCAAAGGTAGGTTGTAGCTGACATTATTCATGCCAAAACTATAGGATGGCCATAATCAAATAGAAGGTGAAGCAGCTGTTAATAAGGATAAAGTGGAACCCCATACACTGAACCCCGTTTTGCACTGTAACTGTAAGAAGGTATGACTACTGTGGAAAAAAAAACAACACAGTAATCACAATTTAGCAGTTCTACTTCTGGATACATGCCTAAGAGACATGAAAACTGAGTGCATATGTACACCCAAACATGAATGGGTATAAGTAGTAGTATTCATAATAGCCAAAAGGTAGAAAAAGCCCAAGTGTCCATCAAGTGATAAGTGGATGAACTATGACAAATCCACACAAAATGTTAGCTATAAAAAGGAATACAGGGCTGTGATTTAGCTCAGTGGTTCCACCGCCTGCCTTGCAAGCACAAAGACCCGAGTTCGATCCCAGGTACCAAAAAAAAAGGAATACAGTGCTGACATGCTGCAACTGGTTGAACCCCCCAAACATTCTAAATGAAGGAGTTACAAAAGACTATAATTCCATTTATAAAATATTTCCAGAATAGACACATCTGTAGAGGCCAAAACTCCAGAGAGAGATGGAATGGAGAATGGATGCTGTGGACTGAGTTATGTCCTTCACCTAAATTCATATGTTGAAGCCTGAACCCCCAATATGAGTATATTTGAAGATAGGATCTATAAGGAAAAAAATCAAGGTTAAATATGGTCATATAGTAGAGCCTTGATACAATAGAATTAGTGTTTTTGTAAGAGAAGATGAAAATAGGTGTGGTAGTGCATATTTGTATCCCAGCACTTTGTGAGGCTGAGGCAGGGAGATTACAAATTTGAGTCCCACTTGGGCAATTTAGGAAGACCCTGTATAAAAATTTTAAAAATGGATGGGAATGTAGCTCAGTGCAAAGGCCATGGGTTCAATCACTAGTAGCAGATACAGAAAAAGGGGGAGGGAGAGGAGGAAGAAGAGGGCAAGGAGGAGGAGGACCTTACCCTGCTACAGGTGAGGACATAGTGAGAAGATTGCCATTTACAAGCCAGGAAAAAGAAACTTGTACCAGAGATCAAATCAGCCAGTACCTTGATGTTGGATTTTTCCAACCTCCAGAACAGGCTCTCTGCTTCCTGTCTGCCACGGGTTGAGTAGCTTCCACAATACTGTTTCTATCTTGGAGCTAGACTACCATGGACTGAACCCCCTTAAGCTATGAGCCAAAATAAACTTTTCCTTTAGGTTGCAGATATTGCATATTTTGTCCCAGGGACAGGACAGTGACTAATACAGGAAATTAGTACAAGAGAAGAAGTAGGATTGTTCTTGTGACTATACCTAACCATGTGTTTTGTAATGGGTTTGCAGGAGAATTTTTTTTTTTTTTTTTTTTTTTTTTTTTTTTTTTTTGGTACTGGGGATCGAATTTAGGACCTTGTACTTAGGAGGCAGGTGGTGGCACCACTGTGTTAAATCCCTGGCCCAAGGAGGAACTTTTTTTTTAATATAGCAAAACCTTTATTGGTAGATTTTTAGGCATACATAATGATAATACTCATTAAAGGGAATCGGCACCAGTACATGGTACATCTTTTTTTCCCATTTCCCCTCTCCCCTCAAACCCCCGTCTCCTCCCTGTGTACAAAAGCTTTGTTTCCATTTTTTCCTCCTATTTTCACTTTTTTCTTGTCCTTTCCTTTCTTTGTCCCTCCATCCTCTCTTGTTCCCCTTCCCATTCGAACTTTTCTTCCCATTTCCCAATACCTATTATACATTTTAGTCCTTATTCCCACTTTTGGTTTCTTACACCAGAGAAACAATGCAGTATTTAATCATGTGTGTGACTTATTTCACTTAAGAGTATAATCTCAAGGTACTTACATTTAGTGCATCATTCTTTATGACAGAGTAGTACTCCATTGCATATTTTATTTATTTATTTATTTATTTATTTTTATTTTGGTACCAGGGATTGAACTCGGGTCTTTACGCTTGCAAGGCAGGCGTTGGAACCACTGAGCTAAATCCCTGGCCCCATTGTATTTTTTTTAAAAGCACATCTTTTTCTATTTGTCAGTTGATGGGCATTTGGGCTCTTTCCAAAATTTAGCTATTACAAGCTGTGCTGCTATAAACATAGGTGTGCATATATCATTGTGGCAGGGTGTTTTAATTCTTTTTTGTTTTTTATGGGTACCAGGGATTGAACTCGGGACCTTGTGCTTGCAAGGCAGGTGGCGGTACCACTGAGCTAAATCCCCAACCCGATGCTTTTAATTCTTTTAGGAAGACTCCAAGAAGGGGAATAGCTAGTTCAGAAGGAACCTCTAGTTTTAATTTTTTGAGGAATCTCCATACTTATTTCCAAAGTGGTTACACCAGTCTGCACTCCCACAACAGTGGAAAAGGATTCTTTTTTCCCCCATAACCCCTCTAGCATTTATTATTATTGGTTGATTTCTTTTCTTTTTCTTTCTTTTTTTTTTTTTTTTTTTTTTTTTTTTTTTTTTTTTTTTCGGGGATATAAAACTCAGGTCCTTGTGTTTGCAAGGCAGGTGGTGGAACCACTGAGCTAAATCCCCCAAGCCCTAGTTGATTTCTTGATAGCAGCCATTCTTTCTGAGTGAGATGGCATCTTAGCGTTGTTGTTTGGTACCAGGAGTTGAACTCAGGACCTTGCACTTGCCATGCAGGTACAGTAACACTAAGCTAAATCCCTAGCCCCTCAGCATTATTTTAATTTGTATTTCTTGAATGACCCATAATGTTGAACATTTTTTCATATATTTATTTGCTGTTTATTCTTCGTCTGAGAAGTGTCTGTTCATTTCAGATGCCCATTTTTGGATTGGGTCTTTATATTTGTGGGGGTCTGATTTTTTTTTCGTTCTTTGTATATTCTAGATAATAGTCCTTTGATGAATAGCTGCTAAAATTTTTTTCTTACTCTGTCGGTTGTCTCTTTACTCTGCTGGTGGTTTCTCTTGCTGTGCAAAAACTTTTTAATAAGATAAGGTCCCAGTTGTTGATTCTTTGTAGTATGTCCCATGCAGTCTGGGTTTTATTTATGAAATCTTTGCCTACTCTTGTGTCCTCAAACATTCTACCTACTCTCTCTTCCAGCAAAGTTAGTGTTTCTGTTTTAATATTTAGATCTTTGATCCATTTCAATTTTAGGTTAGTACATGGTGAAAGATATGGGTCTAGTTTCAATTTTCAGCCATTTATTAAATAGGCTATCTTTCTTCCAGTGAAGGTGTTTGGCTCCTTTGTCAAAGATAAGGTGTCTGCGTATATTTGGACTTGTTTCTGTATCTTCTAATCTGTTCCATTGATCCTTGAGTCTTTTTTTTTTATCATAATGCCATTGTAGTATAATTTCAAGTTGGAGATTGTGATGCTCCCTACCTTGTCTTTGTTGCCCAGAATTGCTTTTGCTATTCTAGGTCTCTTCTTGTTCCAAATGAATTTTAGGAGAGTGCTCTCTAATTCTGTGAGATATGCTGTTGGTATTTTTATTGCATTAAATCTATATAACAATTTTGGAAGTCACTTTCACTATATTCGTTCTTCCTATCAGAGAGCAAGGGATATCTTCCCATTTTCTGAAATCCTCTTCAATCTCCTTATTCAGAGTACTGTAATTTTGGGCCGGGGATTTAGCTCAGTGGTTCCGCCACCTGCCTTGCAAGCACAAGGACCTGAGTTTGAGTCCTAGTACCAAAAAACAAAACAAAACAAAACAAAAAAACAGAGTACTGTAGTTATTTAAATATAGATGTCTTTTATTTTTTTCATTAGGTATTTCACTTTTGTGGATGCTAATGT